CATACACTAAGTCCATTTGTTTACAGGTTTGGTTCCGTTCTGTTATCTGTTTGCTGATTTTTTGTCTATTTGATCTCTTTGTGATAATAGGGTATTGAGGTCTCCCTTTACAACTGTCTTATTGCTTATTTGATTTTTCATGTCTATTAATAATTGTCTTATGTAGTTGGGTGCTCCTGTATTTGGTGCATATATATTCATAATTATTATCTCTTCCTCTTGAAGTTTCCCCCTAAGAAGTATGTAGTGACCTTCTTTATCTCCCTTGATCATTCTTGGTTTGAAGTTGATGTTGTCTGCAAAAAGAATAGCCACTCCTGCTTTTTTGTGGGTTCCACTGTGTGGAAGATTGTTTTTCATCTTTGATTTTCAGTCTATGAACTTCTTTTCACATTAAATGTATTTCTTGTATACAGCATATTGTTGGGTCTTATTTCTTGATCCACTCTGCCAGTCTGTTTCTTTTGATTGGTGAATTGAGGCTATTTACATTGATGGTTATAACTGATATGTATTGGATTATCTTGGTCATGGTATTTTCGTGTTGTTGGTTTCCTGTTTTTCTCCTCTGCTTAATTGCTTGCTCTGCCTGGTGGTTTCATTCTGTTGTTGTTCTTGGAATTGTAGTCATTTTTTCTCTGTCTAGAATATCTTTTAGTACTCTTTGTAGCATTGGCTTGGTGTTCATAAATCTCTTCAGTTGTTCTTTGTCATGAAAATGTCTTATTTATCTATTACTATTGAAAAATAGTTTTGCAGGGTACATCAGTCTATGTTGGGAGTTGTTTTCTTGCAGGACCTGAAATGCTTCACTCCATGCTCTTCTTGATTTGATGGTTTGTGTTGAGAAGTCTACCATGATTCTGATGGGCTTTCCTTTATATGTAATCTGTTTCTTTTCCCTAACAGCTTTTAATATTCTGTTCTTGTGCTGAAATTTTGGAATCTCAATTATTATATGTGTTGGTGTAGTTTTATTTTGTTTGGAGTTCTAAATACTTCATTTATTTGTATGTGAAATTCTTTTTCCACACTTAGGAAGTTTTCTGCCATTATTTCTGTGAAGATTTTTTAATGTCATTTGTGTTGTCTCCAGCTTTCTCACTGACTGCAATCAATCTTATGTTATTCTTCTTTGCTTCGTCTTGTAGCTATTGGATTAATTTTTTATAGTTTCTAATTTTAAGATAGCTTTTTTCATTATCACTAGCTACAATTCTGTCTTCAAGAGCTGAAATCTTATCCTCTCCTTCATTCAACCTGTTGCATATACTTTCAGGGGAAGTTTTAATCTCTTGGATTTCTATTTCTGTTTCATGGATTCCATTTCTTTTCTATGCTGGGCATTATTTGTTTCCATTATTTTTCTAAGCTCATCTATTCTTTTATCCATGTCTTCTCCAATATCTTGATTTTAAGCATCATTTCTTTCTGTACCTGAGAGATTATTTTCTCCATAGAATTTTCCACTTGTTTTTTCACATTAGTTGCTATCATTTTAGAAAGTTCCAGTGTTTGGTTTCCAATTTCATCTATCTCCTTGAGTTCTGGACTTGTTGTGGGTGCACTGGGGGTCTAGTGTTTCATTTTGCTTTTGCATCTTGTCATTTTCTGTTTTCTCTTTTATATTTTGTTTTCTATGATGATACTTGCTAGTTTCTTATGACATATAGCTTTATTACTAGTATTTAGATTTCCTTAGAGGATGTCTGTTCTTCAGGGATGTCTTCCATATATAGGTGGTTTCTTATAACTATCCCAAGGCCTTAGCTTCCCAATTTACAAAGGATGTGAGATTACTATTTGGCTCAGCTCCCAATCCTTTGGTACGGGACTGTGGTGATTATGACCTCATACAGTCACAGTGCTATCATACAGGGGAGAAAAACTGTTCATAACATGTATGACATCCTGGGTAAAGTAGTACAGTTAGTAATAACAACAATTTCAAGTACAGCTTACCTACTGATAAAGGATAGTAACCATTAACCTGCTACCTCTGACCATGGGAGTAAACCTTAAAATTATGTAACAAAATCAAACATATACTGTGCACTTGTATGCACTGATTTTCCCCTTAGTCAGGTGATTTTACCCTTTTGCCAGGAGAAGAGGGGTTAAGATGTTTAGGGGATGGGCTAATGTGATGACTGAGATCAAATATAGTAGAGTCAGAGCTGGGGATTAAAGGATGATCACCCAAGTTTTGGGAAACTAGAGGACACAGGAGGGAAAGAATAAAACAGAATTTAAAGGAGTAGACAGAAAGGGCAGAGACAATGTTTACTTACTTGAAAGTTTAAATTCAAGTAGTTGAGGAAAGGAAGTGGGTCTATAGAAGAGAATGAAAAAAGATTAAAAACAAAAACATTGAAAAAAGAGAGGAAAAGGAGAAAAGGAACAAAAATGAACAGGAGAGAAGAAAGAAAAAGGAGATGAGAGAAAGAGAGGAGAATACAAAAGGAAAGAAAAAAAACAAAATACAAAAATAACTATCAAATACAGAAGAAAATATGATGGCATCCAACCAGACAGGAAAGGGATAGCCAGTCCAACAAACAAGGGAAAATGAAAGTGGTAAAATACCTCTGGTGTTTAAAGTTCTGTGATAGTGTCCATATTTAATCCCAGAAATGTGTTGGGTATGGAGCTGCTCATGGCCTCTGGCTGTGGGGCCTGGAGCTGGACTTCTACTGGCAGAGTTCTCTGGAGTCCAACTGCTGGCTCCTCACTGCAGCTTTAGACACTTCCATGCTGCTGGTCTCACCATTTACTCTGCCCTCCAAAGACATGTGTGCACCCCTGCACCTGGGACCCAGCTGTTGTCCTGTGTCTCAAGTTCTGGGGTTCCTGTCAGTCTACTCAACAAAGGCATGTGTCCTTTTACTCCTCCTAAAGACCTTGCTGTCCCTGAGACAGTGGAAGAAGTGCAGAGCACAGACTCACACTCCTCTAGCAGTCCCCACTGTCCCAGAGGAGACGGAGGAAGCTCCGAGTGTGGACCCACTCTCCTCTGGCAGGTCCCAGCATCTCAGGTGGCAAAAATTTTTTAAAAATTGTTTTAACATGTCTGTAATTCACAAAACCATTTTTATCATGGCTGCTTTTAACCATTTGTTATAAAGTACCAATATCTCTGTCATCTTGATGTTGTTCATTGATTGTCTTTTAAAATTCACATTGAGATGATCTTAGTTCTTGGCATGATGAGTGACTTTAAACTGAAACTGAATATTTTGGGCACTATGTTATGAGACTTTGCTTTTTATTGGAACCTTGTGATTTTTGCGAATGTTTTGACATTGTTCTGACAAAGTGAGAGAGAACACCTGATTACTCTCAGGTGCTTTCCAGTCCCAACCAGACCCCTCAAATCCCCCTCAGTAACATAATGCACAGTGGTACCTTACAAACCCTGAGGTGATTGTATGTATTCCATTTTTAAAGATTTTCATGGGCATGATTCAGACATTTAGGAGTTCACATTATTATATTCTCATATATAATAAATGAGTAATTATGATGCTAAGTAATAATGATTTATTGTTATTGTTAATACTAATTCTTTTCTATTTCCAACAGTGCTCAATTAGCAGCCACTAGTGATCTAGAGGGACACTGTTCACTAGATGACTTTCCTTCATTGTCTCCTAATGGTGTCCTTGGTGCCATCCCCTAACCCTGATAGACCTGGATTGGTATCAAGAGACAGTTGAATGGTAAACATATGTCAAGTAAATTTCTATTACTTCCATTTCTGCTCCTGTTGGTGTAATAACCCCCAATCTGGATGGCTGGATGAATGGCCAGTTTAGTGCTCTAGACTGCATTTTAGAAAAGGAATAGGTAAACGGTTGGCTAGTTGGAGGGAGGATTCCATTGTTCACTGTTCTGTCCTGGAGGTTTTGCTCAGCAAGGAGTCTCTTACTAGTGCAGGAACAGGACAGAGACCGAGGGACACAGGAGGGTAGGAAAGCGGCTTGGGATTACAAGTAAGCACACTCCCAAGTTCTCCAGAGACCCAAATAAGTTCTTCTCTGCTTTCTCTTCCATAATTTCAACAGCAGAGATGTCCATTGACATATCACTTTGGTTTATTCCAGACATGGACAGCGACTTCATTAAAGAAAGAAGATTTGCAGATGAGATGCACATGTTGAAATTTTCACTCAGATAAAGGACATCTCAAATGTAAGTGTTTATTTACTTACATTTTAGCTGCATAGACAATCGTCCATGTTGATTTACTGGAAATGTGAAAGAGTAGAGGCTAGAGCTCTGGTACTGTGAGCTGGTTGTGGATGAGATGTGGCCCTAAAATAACCAGACAACATTGCCACTCATGACTGGTGTGACTAGAACATCTTGGCTGGGGCATTCATTTGTTGTGATTTCTTTGAGCTAATCTCTCACACACACAAAAAGCAGAAGCATTTGTTTTGGCTCAGTGAGAAAGCAAGATCAGAGATCTGAGATGAATACCAGTAGACCAAAATGGCAAAGTCTCATATAAAAGAATTTTATGATATGAGGAAAGGAAAAGAATATTTGTTCTAGTCAGGTAAACAATATGGAAGTCAGAATTAATCAGAAAATAATTGTTGGAAGGCATGGAGTTCCTCTTACTGCTTAATGCCAAGCATCCTTAAACCTATGGACTGAAGGTTCCAAAGATAGAATATCTGTCTTGACTGACCACTAAGCATGGGAAAACACATCTTTTACACTGACCTACCTCAGGCTATATGTCAAAATGACCTGGGTTGATTCTGTAACAAACCCATTAGAGCTGATTTGTGACTATTCTAATGAATTTCCAAGGGCTAGGACTACAGAAAAATTTTCTATCTATAAATGTGTAGTCCAAAACATGAAAAAGAACTCTTAGTATATGATGAAAGAACTTTTTGGAGATATGACAGTATTCCATACCATAGTTTGTGTGTGCATATGTGAGTGTATGCATGTGTGTGCATGTGTGTGTGTGTGTGTGTGTGTGTGTGTGGTGCTGAGGACTGAATTGTGACCTCAAGTATGCTAGGTAAGCACTCTACCACTCTGTTATACCCTCTGCTACAGTTTGTTTATTTCAGTTATAGTTTTCCTTACTCAATAACTAAAGGACTTTTTCTTAGTTGGCAATATAGAAAAATGATCAATACTGTTAAAATTACATTAACTACACTCACAGTTCTTATTTATAAAACAAAATTTTAAAAAATATAGTAAGCAAGCCCAAATGCAATGCTGAGGTTATTTTACATGTTTAATAAAATAAAGTTCTGTATTCTTCACCCAGGAACCTGCCATATAGTTCGATGACACTAGATTGAAGAAATGGAAAGGCCAATGCTGGTGGGAGCAGTGAACTGCACAGCTATTCTGGAGTTCACCCTGGAGGGCTTCCCTGTAGTCCAGCACCTGGGGAAGGTCCTCTTCCTGCTGCACCTGCTGGCCTACCTGGCCTCTGTCATGGGAAACTCACTCATCATCACAATCACCTGGGCTGACCAGCGCCTCCACACACCTATGTACTTCTTCCTCAGCACTTTCTCCTTCTGTGAATGCAGTTTCATCACCACGGTTATTCCTAAACTCCTGACCATCTTTCTGTCAAGAAAGCACACAATTTCCTTTGCTGCATGCTTCACACAAGCATTTGCTTTTCTTTTCCTGGGTGCAACTATTTTTTTCTTGATGGCTGTACTGTCCCTGGATCAGTACCTGGCCATCTGCAAACCTCTGCACTACCCTACCATCATGAACCCAAGGACATGTGTCCTACTGGTCACTGCCTGCTTCTCTTTGGGATTTCTACTCATGGCAGGTCCGATAATCATGCTGTCCCAGTTGTCCTTCTGTGGCTCCAATGTCATCCCTCACTTCTTCTGTGATTTTGGACACTTGGCAAAACTCTCATTTTCTAAAAACAGATCTATTGAAACATTATTCTTCAACCTTGTCTTTTTTCTCCTTTTTACATCCTTCCTTATGACCGTCATCGCCTACAGCAACATACTAGTCACAATTGTGCGCCTCCCATCAGCCAAGGAGAGGCAGAAAGCCTTCTCCACCTGCTCCTCTCACCTCGCTGTCCTCTCTCTGATGTACGGCAGCTGTGTCTTCATCTATGTGAAACCAAAGCAAACAAGCAGGCTGGACTCCAACCGAGAGGCTGCTCTAGTAAACACAGTGGTGACCCCGCTGCTGAACCCTGTCATCTACACCCTGCGGAACAAGCAGGTGCACCGGGCACTGAGGGACGCTCTGTCCAGGGTGAAGTTGCAGAAATAGAATCACAACATTTTATTGGTGGCGTGTACTTTCCCTTCTACCGAATCCAACTTTTTTTTTTCTATTTCTAGAGTCTTTGAAATGAACGTTTGAAATTAACTTTGAAATGAACGTCAATTTTTTTCAGTTCTGTTTGTTTATCCTTAGAATAGCGGTTAATGTATCCAACAACCCAATCTAAGAGCTCCAATAGTTTTCTTCATATAATGATGAGAATACCTTCCTGAATTTTTTATCACTTCAAAATTAATAAAATTCAACATATTAATGGAAAATCTAATATACACATATTTGTTTGATATGTTGAATTCCAAAACCAAAAGTCTCATGGTTCCACTATATATTTGTGAGTGTATGGACTAGGGGACATTCCTGCACACTGAGAATATCAGAGTGATCCAAAGACATATGTAACATGTCAGCATATTGAATTTTAGAGGGTGTCAATGCATTCCTTTAAACCATTCAATACAATTGTTTTAAATGTTGAATATTTGATATGTAAATGCAAATTTTTACAATTCAACTTCCACTGTGATGGAGGCATATAAAGTTTCTAGTTGAAATTGAAAGTTTTGGCTGGTTCATTGGTTTGAATACTAGACAGAGCCTGAAGAGCTGAAGACAAAAACCTATAAGAAAGGAATAAGACTTAGAAGAAATTGAATATTTGTGATTGTTTCCCTGCTACAGAAAATTTAAACAAAATGAGATAATTCAAATCAGAGGTGGAAATAAAGCTAATTATGCCAGTAAAGTCTCTCCAAATGGATCTATGAGCAAGTCTCTACCTTAATGGCATGGGAGGCTTGGGTATGATCACTTCCTGGTGTAATTTCCAGGACTAATGTGAAATGATGGTCCAGATAATAGTTGACACAGGTACAATATAAACACGCTTGATAGAAAGTCGTGGGATGTCTAATGGAAGAGTCTGATTACATTTGCAACTGTAATTTAGTTATTAAAGATTATGGTAGGAAATGAGGGACTTGTGACAAAACTCTGGTACTGGAGCTTGCTTGGCATAGGTGGTTAAAGGCACCTCTGTGGTTTGCTTTTACCATATTGTACTGTGATTGTGGGAATCATGAATGGCTGTTTTGGAAAGATTCTGGGGATACAAATATGAAAGAATTTGAAGAATAGATGACTCAACTAACAGAATATGCATTTTATAAATGCCGAGTGTACTTAAGGATGTCCATAAAACACTGTAAAATTGTTTCTTTTTCCTCACATTGGAATATTTGTTTCACTAATATAATTTCTCCTCTAGTGATTTTTTTCCAGAATGACCAGTGAACTGTGTGGTCATTTCTTTTTGAGTTCTTTGAAATTTGAAACTTTAATGACTGATGTTGGTAATCTGCCTTGGAATAAATGCGTAAAAGATACAATTTTAAAGAAGTACATAGTTTAGAAGTATTTGATTCTGTGTTATTAACACAATTTTTGCCACAATCTGACATACCACAGATATACTACAACTGGTTTATCCATGACTCTGTTGATGGATTTTGAGCAGTTTCCATCTTTTGGTAAAGTAAATAGTACTGCTGTGTTCATGTATTTGCCTAAATACATATTCTCAATTCTTGTGAGTTAAGAAAGGGATGGTGGTGGGAGAAGTGGGGAGAAAGCACTCATGGGGCAAGAGATTTCCTTTCTGGTGACATCTGGGTAGTTTCCATTTTTGGCTGTTGTAATGGTACTGCTGTGAACATCTGTGTGCATGTATTTGTCTGCAAATTGATTTTAATTCTTTTGTAACTAAAAGAACAACTAGTTCTTTATAAACCTAGGACAGAAATTGTGGTGGGGTGACTGGGGAGCACCTGACTGAAGGTTAAGTGGTTTCCTTTGAGGTGATGAAAATGCTTTGTAATATTGATAGAGATCGTGATTACATACATTTTGAATGTACTATATGGCACAGAATTGTTCAATTTTTAGATAATTAATTTTGTAGGTGTGCTAATTTCAAATAAAAAATTCTGTATTCTTTAAAGTTTTATATATTGTTGAAAGTTTTACAATAAAAAATAAGAGTCCCTCTTATCCAGGGCAGCTGAGTGGGTGATGCAAACCTCATTACCCACCACAACCTCCACAACATAAAACAAAGATGAACAGGAACCCAGAAACCAAAGTAGCTCTGGGAGGACCCCAGGGCCCATTTAAGACTTCACATCAATGCGGTGCAGCAGAATCAACTGAAGAGTATCTACACAGGAAGGAGTTCTGGTGAGCTTGGCAGAGCTGAGATGACAGGAGATGGGTCAGAAAAAAGACAGAGGTTGAGGCTCTTGATGTTAGCTGTGAGGCAGAAGACAGCATGTTCCTCCACAACCTGCCTTCTAAGGACACCAGCACCATTTATATCTGAGGGAACCCAATGGCCATCCCTGCTGGGAACACCAGAGATGGAAATGTGGCCACACACATCTGCCCTCCAGGAAACAGCTGCTGTGCCCCACTCTGGGTCCCAGGCTGCCACCTCTCCCCAGCCTGTGCATCCACCTGACCTTCAAGCCCTGGTTGCCCCACGAGTGCACTTGCTCCAAACAAGGCTCTGTGGGTGCACTGTTCCTGACCCCATGTCCCATACATAGGAGCCACTGCATTGTGAAGTAGCTTGATCCAGCTCCCAGAAGCAGGGTTTCTATCTTGACACGGTTCCCCTGTCAAGACCTTGGCTCTGCTCACATTGAGAGCTACCTTATATTCTGAACCTGGCTTGGAGGTTGCACAGTATAAGCATGCCTCCAAGACTAGAGTCAGTACTATTATGACCAAACTCATGCCCTGGATCCTGGTATCTGTGTGTGCCTATTCTTGGGGCACCAGCTCAGCTGCCATGGACAGCCAGCCCACTCTGACCTCAAAACCACTGTAAACTATACACACCCATGCTCCCATCTCCCGTGTCCTGGCTGCTACACAAACTTGCATACTATAATGAACTTGGTCCTGGAGTGTCAGTATCCTGGATACCGTTACCATAATAATCCCTACCCCCAGAGCTGTAGTCACCCCATATATGTCCATGCTTTAGACCTTGGCTTCCTGGTTATTGTATGAGTTTCACACCTCAGACACCAGAGCCACTGCAACAGAGAAGGGCCTGAACACCATACCCAATGTTAAGAGAATTTTCTGGACCACAGTTTCTCAAATGGAGAAAAAAGAGATTGAGAGATTGGAGAAAATTCATCAGATGCTGACAGCCATTTCTTCTGAAGACATAACAGTGCTCTTTGTGATAGTAGACCTTGACAGCACAAAGCTCTGCAGCTTTCATCTGCATGCATCTTAAATACAGGGCTGACTCTTTAACAAATGGTGGTAGAAAAATTGGCTAAAGACTAAAACCTTTCTTCCACATGCTGAAGACTAAAACTAGACCCATGTCTATCACCATGTACTAAACTAAAGTGAAAATGGATCAAAGATCTAAATATCAAAACAGAAACACTAAATCTACTGGAAGAGAAAGTAGGTAAAACTCTCAAAGACATAGGGGTAAGCAGAGACTTCATGAGCAGAAACCAAACTGCACAGGAAATACTTCAAAGAATCAACAACTGGGATCTCACCTTATTGAAAAGTTTCTGCACATCAAAAGAAATCAACAAGAGAGTAAAAAGAAAACCCACAAATTGGGGAAAAAATTTTATCCTACTGCCCCTCAGACAAAGGACTACTATCTAGAACATATAAAGAATTTTAAAAAATCAGGCCCCCAAAATTCAAAGTCCCAATCCAAAAATGGGCATCTGAGATGAACACACACTTCTCAGAGGAAGAAATACCAATGGCGAATACATGTATGAAAAAATGTTCAACATCATTAGTCATTAGAGAAATGCAAATTAAAACAACACTGAGATTTCATCTCACCCCACAAAGAATGGTTATCATTAAGAAATCAACCAATGAAAAATTCTGTATAGGCTGTGGGCAAAAAGGAACACTTCTCCACTGCTGGTGGGAGTGTCAATTGGTGAAACCATTGTGGATATCAGTCTGGAGATTCCTCACAAAACTAGGATTAGAAGTCCCACTTAACCCAGCTATTCCCCTTCTGGGAATATTTCCAGAAGAATTAAAAATGTCATACCACAGTGATGTATGTGCACCCATGTTTATAGTGGTGTAATTTGTCATAGCTAAATCTTGGAAATAACACAAATGTCCATCCACTGAGGAATGGATAAAAACTCTGTGGTGTTTCCATACAATGGAGTATTACTCAGCTATAAAAAAGATAAACTCAAGGCTTTTGTAGGTAAATAGATCTAACTAGAGACCATACTCATAAGTGAAATACATCAGGCCCACATGTGTAAACATCATATTGTCTCCCTGGTGTAAGAACATGAAAGAGTAAATAAAACCCGAAATGTACAATAGATAATAAGAAAGGGAAAGAAGTTGCTCAAAGGAAGGAACAACTGGGATGAGGGAAAGAAGAAAAAGAAAGTACTAAGGCATTTTATATATAATGAATCAGTGGCATAACTTTACTGTTGGTGTCTGATGGTTTGTTGAGGGAACAGTTAATGTTTAGAAGTTTTTTAAAAATATTTTGACCAATTCTGCATGTTTGTGTCTGGTAATCTGAGCAACTTATGTGATGACAACAATTTTCAGTGTAATATCCATTGGTGAATTCCTACAATCCTGCCTACTGACACTGTGTATTGTCTCTAATGTTCATTTAAATTATTATTTTATTATTCCCTTTAATGACTTGATCAATCTTCTATTCTTACATCTGGCAATCTGAGCAACTTCGCTGAAGATAACAATATGAAATGTAACAACCACTGTTCATCTTTATCATTTGGTTTTGAAACCCTGTATCATTTTTAATGTCCTCCTTTGAGTTGTCTTTTTTTGGTACTATTTTCTTTAAAATCAAAAAAGTAAACAAACAAACAAATAAAAATGTAGGGCTGCATAAAGCTACACTGTGGTGCCCCCAGTAGGATCTGAATAGAGCTCCCCACCTTAGGGGGTTGGTGTTCCCACCATATACTTCAAAGACCTTTTCCCACAAAAACAAGGCTCTAAGGTTGGAAGAGGATTCTACTCCACTAAATGCACAGACATCAAGACAAGACAAGAAACCCAAAATACCAAGAAGAAAGATAATCTGAAGAAAATAATAATTTCACTGCAGTTGACCCAAAAGAAATGGGCATGTATAAACTATATGGTAAAGAATGCAAAATCGTCAGTCTAGAAAGCTCAGGAAACTTAAAGAATATACTAAGAAACAATTCAATAGTATCAGGAAAGAATTTAATGACACTAATTAGAAGTTTTATAGAGATGAAATCATTAAAAACTGCAATAAAGACTGTCAAAAG